ACAAAACCTCTGAACACTCCAAAGCACTGTTTGCCAGGTGGTGGAGAAAGTCTGAAGGGACTTCTGAGAACCTCAGTCATGACTGTAAGTGACTGCCAGCTGTCACATAACAAGGACAGCCATAATGCAGGCAATACTGCATTATGCAATGGTGAATCGTCATGACTGTAAGTGACTGCCAGCTGTCACATAACAAGGACAGCCATGGTAATACTGCATTATGCAATGGTGACTAACAAAGAAATAGAGGACATGCAGCAGCTCCATAGGTGCTTCAGAAAACTTTCCTGCATATTGGTCACACAATGATATAATTATTTTTTGTTGGTATATTAGTTTTCAATTGGTTGAAGACAGAATCCTCCTTATGAAATGTAGGTATGAGCGAATAGGGTATTTATTTCCTTGATGTATTAAGAAATTTTAAAACACATACATACTACCTGCCTCTGGAAATGTATATGTACTTCATCACTGCTCCTTTTAAATGTAAAAAGCAAGAGTTTCAACACCTGAAAGTGGCTAAAGATGTATCTTAGAGCTCAGGTAAGAGTTTATGTTTTCAGAGGCTACAGTCCAAGGCTTCCTGGTCATTCCAAAATGCTGCAGTATTTAGGAAGCTACGGTGGAAATCACTACACAACCCTCTGAAGAGGAAAGCTTTGAGTCAGCTTTTGCGTGTGAGACAGTGACATCCAGTGGTGAGTTTGGTTTCCTGCAGTGATCTCTTCCCCGATGGACAGAAGAACATCAATACTTTTATTTAGTTGAAACACATTAAAATATTTCAAACATATTTTAAACTATTTAAAAATATTTCAATAGAGAAATATACACAGTATTGTGTTCCCTAAAAAAGAAAACATACTTAGATATAATAATTATAAAAATGCTGTGTTTACCTGAAGTGAAAAATTACAGAATCACAGAATGGGTCACAAGGGAATGGACCACAGAGAGTCATCGTGGCCAATCTCCTTGCTCAAGCAGGGTCACCCTAGAGCACATTCTACAGGATTGCATCCAAAATGTTTAATCAAGCCTACAATAAAAGTATGCAAAAATGTTTAGCTGCATTTGAAGAAACAGAACACTTCCTCCACTACAACTGTATTCTATCTTGCTCAGACAAAGAATCACTACTCCTCTTTTTCCTGAAAATCTCAGTTCCTATAAAAATGGAGCTTATGATTCTCAACACCCACAAAGCAACTCTTTGTAAACTCTTGCTCCATTTTGGATTCACAGCTCCAGCAGATCACCATCTAACTCAAACACAGCTTTACTAGAGCAGAACCTCCCTTTCAAGACCCAGCTGTTGAAAAGCACTAAGACTGTACTTCAAAGTTCTTTGTTTATACAATCAAGGATGTAGAAGACCTCAATTCAGTGTCCTGTGCTTTTTGGAGAGAGGCATTTTTTTAATTGGAGATGGAGATCAACATATCTACAAAGCTAGGAAATACTGTTCATTAGAAGACCTCAATTCAGTGTCCTGTGCTTTTTGGAGAGAGGCATTTTTTTTTAATTGGAGATGGAGATCATCGTATCTACAAAGCTAGGAAATACTGTGGAGGAAGAGACATTTAAAATCCCTTAATGAATCTGTTCCATTTTATCTACTATCATGAGATTCGTTGGACCAAAACGAGGCTAAAATACATCCTACATTAAGAATATGATATTTCAGTGGAACGATACATGGCTGTAGGCTGAAGATCAGATTCACTGCCTTTGAGATGCACAGACCAGTAACAAATCACCTGTCTCATCTCACTCTCCAAAGGATCCAGTTGAGTAGCTAGCAGTTTTCTGTGTGCATGTTTGAAAATTAAATAAACTGGCTCTTTCACAGGCAACCTAAATTCAGGTTTCCCCATTAAAAGCAAAGGTATTCCACCAGTCTTAAACACTTGTTTCTCCTTCACTTACACATACAAATTCTAAGCAGGTGGAACAGCCTCTAAATTCATGACTTAATTATTTTTGGTTTGTCAGCAAATAGGCCCATACTTATTGTTAGTGTACTATCACATCATAAATCCAGACTCAGGATGGAAGAAGTCATGCTTCACTTACTGAGCATTTCTCTTATGGTTTATGATACCTATTTTAAAAACAAAACAAAACAAAGCAAACCAACCAACAACTTCGCTCTTAAACTTAGCGTTTCTTAGGCAAGTCTAGGTAGAGGAGATTACAGATAAATTTGAGTCTTTCTGAAATGTTGAAAATGGGAATATTTTTCTGACAAACACACATGCCCATGCACGGCAAGAAAGTCATCCAAGACAGCCAAAAAGAATTCATGAAGGGCAAATCCTGTCTGACCCACCAGTGGCCTTTTATGATGGAGCAACTGCAACCATCAACAGGGGAAGACTGACAGATGTCATCTACATACACTTGTGCAAGGCCTGTGACCAGTCCCACACATTGTCATCACTGAACTGGTGAGACATGGATTTGAAGTGCGGACTATTGTGTGGATAAGAAACTGGCTGGATGGACACAAGTAGAGGATTGTAGCCAATTTCTTACTTCCAGGTGGAGGCCAGTGATAAGTGGTGTCCCTCAGAGCCCTAGTCTTGACATTGGTGCCCTTTAATGCCTTAACAATAACACAGGGATACCCAGACCAACCTCAGCAAGTCTGCAGATGACACAAAACTGAGTGGTGCAGGTGACACAAAGCAGGAAGGAGTACCATCCAGAGATGTTCAGCCTGGAGAAGGGAAAACTCCAAGGAGACTTCGTTGTAGCTTTTCAGTATTTAAAGAGTGCTTACAAAAAAGAGGGGGAACAGCTTTCTATGAGGACATGTAATGCAAGAACAAAGGAGATCAGCTTTCAACTGAAAGAAGGCAGGTTTAGATTAGCTGTTAGGAAGAAAGTCTTCCTCACAAAATGGCAAGGCCCTGGTTGCTCAGAGAAGCTGTGGATGCCACACCCTGGTAGTGTTCAAGGCCAGGTAGGATTGGATCTTTGGCCACCCAGTCTAGTAGGTGGAATCCCTGACCATGGCCAGGGGGTCAGAACTAGAAGATCTTCAAGGTCCCCTTCAACCCATGTGTTTTTGTGATATATGGAAACCAGTTTTGTGTTTGTGAAAATTTATCTCATGTTAGATTTACTTATTGTAGTTCCAGGAGTCAGGGAATGTTTTAAACTCAAAATTTTGAGGCGCTCATCCTTCAAAAAAATACTGATACAATTTTTGAATTTGCAGTTGTTTATACTTTCATACAGCAATACTTCTAGAACACAAAAAAAATGCCATCATGCTTTAGAAACCAAGTATTATCCATCTTTTTACCAACATCACCCAGAAGATAAGCAAAATAGCAAACGTTTATACTTTCATACAGCAATACTTCTAGAACACAAAAAAAATTGCCATCATGCTTTAGAAACCAAGTATTGTCCATCTTTTTACCAACATCGCACAGAAGATAGGCAAAATAGCAAAGTATTTGGAGAAAATTTGCCTTGGATGTACTAAATAAGGCACACTGTTTTCCACTGCAAGAGTTGTTGCTCAGCTGCTCTGAACTTCCTCAATGTGAATCAAATTCATACACTTACCACCCCACTGTTTTCCACTGCAAGAGTTGTTGCTCAGCTGCTCTGAACTTCCTCACTTACTGTGAATCAAATTCATACACTTACCACCTGTTATCAAGTAACCTTTGTTTCACAGTGTGATCTCCATATGAAGTATTACAGCTTCAAGTGTGTGATACTAAAACAACTGTGTGCTGATTTGTTGCAGAACAGTTATCAGTGGGAATGTCAGGAGCACAACATTTGAGTGGTCATGCTTAGGGCCATGTGTGAAAATTGCAACTCTCCCCACCAAACTGTAGGAACAAGGCTGAACTTTTATGAACCAGCCTGGGAGGACAACATCCTGTGTTTATGAAATCAAAAAAGTCTGTTCCTCGGTCCAGGTGACAGCTGCCATAGCCCACCTGGCAGCCATTTGGACAGACTCTCTGCACTCCTTCCCAAAAAGCACACAGTATCTACCAGACCACTCGAGATTTCTCTGTACAGCTCACACCACCCAACACTGCACCAAGAGTTGCAGGAGAACAGTCAGAATGGGACAACACACAAACCTGCATCTATTAGGTTTGCTAATAGAAAATAGTCTAGCTGCCAGTAGCTGTGGATGGAGCAATGAGTGGGTAAAGGAATGCCAAAGAGGCACGGGGAAAGTAAAGAAATGGATCCAACACTAACACTTCACTGCCCTTTTGGTAGAGTTTCACTTTCTCTCTGTTTAGGAAACTTACAAACTGTGTATGACATGCATCTGCATTCTTCCTCAAGTCCTTATCTCCACTCTTGTGAATTACTTTAATTCAAGTAATTAAACTTAGTTTCAAAAATACTTCCTTAGCTTATAAATTTACAAGTGTTCTGCAATTCTGTACCCAAATGTTTTTCACATTAGTGTAAGATCAGTCTTGTAGATCATCTTTCCTGTCTTAAATGAAACCTATTTTAGACAGAACTGTTCATCTCCACACAAAGATACAACTTTTACTAAATATGGAGAGTCTCCATTGCATCCACACCCCTTCTCAAATTATCTTAATTCAATAAAAACAGGCTACTTGAAGCAAAACTAAAGCCTTCTTAATTTTTAACTATTTTTAATTTTCAGTTATTTATTTTAAAAAAGCATTAAAAAGGGAACAAAATTGCACATAAGATCACTAAGTTTCTTCCCTTCATTTCTGTTCTACAAAGAAGCATGCAACAATAAAATTTTCATTCAGTTTTAAAAAATGTATTTATCTAGAAGCCTTAAAAACATGAAGTATAAATTGAAAGAAATGCAGAGATAATTCTGAATTAGTTACACAAATTAAACTGGGGAATTTGCCAAACTGGGAATTCTAATGGGAAATTCTGAATTAGTTACACAAATTAAACTGGGGAATTTTAATGGGAAAAAAAGTCTGATTAAAAATGAATAGAAATTAACTCAATTTAAGACACAGTGAATGGATAGTTTTATTTATAAAATGCCACTGGCACACAGTACACACAGAAAGTATGAAACTTGATTTATAAAGAAGTGAAGTGCTTCACAGAAGCATAGATTCCTGAGTTATTCTGAATGAAATCTCTCATTTACTGTAATTCACAACACAGCTCCAATTTGCTTAAGCATCAGAATAACTGATACTTGATAAGTACAGAATAAAGACACAGTAAAAAAACACAGAGGCAAATGGAAACTGGAAGATTGTGTCTCATCAATACTAACAGCCTTGGTCATGGAGGAAAACAATCACACACCGAAGGGCACAAAGACTTGTTAAGACTGGTTTCATAATTTCACAGCCAATTCAAATGTACTGTAAATACCTGCTTTCACCTCTATGTCCACAGCCACAATTACAAAGTACTCTTGACACTGGACACAAAAATACTTCTGTTCCTGCATAGCCATACAGAAGGACTGATTACCCAGACAGAAATTATTACAACTGAAGAAAGAAAAAGTCTGGCACTTTCACTTCTTTTTCTCTTTTTCTACTTTCCTTCTCTGCTGTAGCATCTTTAGTTCAGTCATTACATTCAAAGTTCTGTAAACCCAGCTGACCTGAAAAGAAAGTAAATTATTACATTCAACTAATCCATATACTTTACTTACTCATTTAATGAAAGCAGCTATATGAATGAACACATACATACCACAATTATAATAGTATTCACCAGCAGTGGTGCTGAAAAGACAAGTGAAATAAACATTCCTCTTGAATCAAAGTATTGGTATTTAGAAAAGAGCCTGAAAGAAATAAAGAGAAAATGAAAGACAAAGCTTTATTTAGAGTAGTTCATACATTCAACTTTCCCTGCAACTATTCTACATGGACACTGTACACATCATCCCACATCTTGGGATCACCAAGCATAGGCCAGCATTCTACTGTATTAAGTCAGAAAAAAAGGAGCAGCTGATACTTCTTCAGTCATGAACATTAATATCAGTCTCTCTCTTCTTTACAGTTTTACTGTGTAAAAGCTAACTAACATGACTGACTACAAGAGTGCATCACAAATCACGCTTATTCTGAAGTATCTTTTAGGTATTTTGCTTACTTATATTAGAAAAGATAACAAAAATGATAAACGCAGCAAAGCTGTAATTAGGTCACATATGCCTGAAGTGAAACATAATGACTACAATTAGATGCCAACATAAAGGGGTGTTAAACATGTAACTTTCAGTGATATCAGGGAAAAAGTAATTCAATGCTCAAAGTATCAAAATAAACCACCAGTTTAATTCTGGTATACACATTTAGTAAAACAGGCAAATGCTAATGCTTGTTATACATTGAAGTGAGTATATAAAGCAGCAGTGGCTTTTGAAAAATGTTTCTTAACTTCATCTATTAAACATAAATACCAAAAAGACCCCAAAAAACAAAAAAACCAAAAAACACAAACTCACAAACAAAACCCACCAAAAAACCCCAAAAAACATAAATACCAAAAAAACCCCAAAAAACAAAAAAATCCCCAAAAACACAAACCCACAAACAAAACCCACCAAAAAACCCCCAAAACCCCACCACAGTTCACATTCTTTTCCCCTTAACCATAGCACTCTCCTTTTCTCTGACTTCTTTGACAAGTTAGTTTACAAGTACTCATATAAACAAATTTTAAGCAGTACAATAAAGGCACGCTATCGTTATTTCTTATAAGTATGTGATAACTATGTTGTACTGTATAGTTTTATTCAAAAAATGAAAGTGAAAACATTTACCTCCAATTCATGGCTGCTAATTCATTGATATATTCAGCGCAGTACACTAAGCCCACTATAAATAGAAGAAAAATATTAGATTTGGTATTTCTTTAAAAATAAACCATTCATAATACATCATCTAATCCAAATCAATGTGGTCTTAAACCAAAGATATGTGTTCTGCCAGTCAGCCATGGCTGCTTTGGCTAGGCAAGGTCACTGGACTCTCAGGTTGATAAACCCTGGGGTAACTCAAGTTGTTCCTGCAGTGTGCAAGCCAGTCTTGCTCCTCCTGGTGCCATTATCACGGCTGTCAGCAGGGCACATGGTGAACTTGCTTCAGAAACTAAAGCTGAGCGTATTCACTGACCCGCACCACTAGAATAAAGCAGAGTACAAAGCAACTGCTGGCTCTCAGTCGGTTTCTTTTCTGCTTCTCCAGCACAGAACACTTCATTGGGAAGCTGCGATACACAGGGCAATGACCACGCAGTAACCTTACCCACCCCACTTCTTCACCGAGACCAGGGTTTTAAGTCACTACTTCATAGATTTTCTTGGAAATAGAAGAGATACATATTTTTAGGCGATAGCAGGTTGTATCGCAGACTGTCAGGACAGGCAGAGGCGCTGCTAGCAGGCACGGCGGTGGGGCCGGCCCCGCACGGCCCCGCACTGCACTCACCCATGCAGAGGAAGTGCCCGACCTGCACGCGGCGGTGCTGCAGGGACGCGCACGTCAGCAGCAAGCAGAGCAGGTGGAAGGCGGCCAGCCCCAGCAGCCAGGGCTCGGACCAGTCCGTGCTCTGCGGGCAGAGGGAAAGCGGCTCAGGCAGCGGCGGCAGAAGGGGCGGCACAGCGACCGAACACGGCCGGTGTCTGCCACGGACCGCGCCCCGCAGCCTCCTTCACGCACCCTGCGCCCCCAGCAAGGGCCTCCCCCCTCCCCGCCGGGCGGCCCTGCTCCCCCGGGCGGCCCCGCTCCGCCTCACCGCCAGCACGGCCGACAGCCCCGGCGGGCCGCGCACCGGCGGCTCCATGGCGGCGGCAGCGCCCGTTCTCGCGAGACTCGGGCGGCCGCCGCGGCGGGGCCCGGGGCGGCTCCTCCCTCCCCCGGGGACGGGACCGCAGATGGTCCCGCGGTTTGGGGCAGCGGCGGAGGTGGCTCCTCACACCCCGGTGGCTCCTTCTTCTGAGAGTGCCTCCGGTCGCGTTTCGAGCGTTTGACGTCGGGAGGCCGCCTGTGTCCCCATCCGCTCTGTGGGGTCCCGCTGGACTCGGCGCTTTGGGTCGGTGGCCGAGCACTGGTGTTAGCTTGTGGCGTCCTGTCAGCAACACCCAGGGCTGGCTTTAGCGATGAAAAAAGAGCTTTAAGCCCAGTTGGGAGTTCTGTAAAAACAAACACAGTTGAGCTCTCCAGGCAGGAACTTAAGTCAAATGAAAACTACTCTTTCTCTCCAAATAAAGCCCACCGACATCCCCACCCACCTCGGGGGACAGCGGGGCCTTCTCCTCTTATCACCACTACAGCATAGCTCAAGGACACTTGTTTTACCTTTGGAAGTTGAAAAAATATTAAAATATAACAATGGAAAGGGAACAAGAGAGGTTAAAATTCTATTTTACAATTCCTTTTGCTAAATGCATCTAGGTCTAGAAGAACCAACTATTCTTAAAACTTACCACTTAAAGAGCATTTCAAATTCAGATTCCTAACCATGAAGTCAAATCTGATCTAAAGGACTGGATCTGTCAAACAAACAGTATTTTAATATATATCTTCACATTCTGCTTTCATTATTTTTTTATGACAGCTTATCAGATGTGAAGCTTTGAATTTTTTTTTCAAATTATTTGAATTGCATGTGTAAGTAAATATTACAGATACTCTTTTAATTTAGTTTACCATATAGCCAGATATGGTTCATCAGTGTGACCTGGTCTCTCTTCACTGTCACACTTCTGGTATTTAAGATGAGATACCTGAAACAGAGGAGTTTTAAAAAAATATTTTTAGGGTTTTTTTGCTTTAGGTTTTGTTAGTCTTCTTCTCAACAAAAATAACATCTGGAGGCTAATCAAGGCTTTCACTTGAAGTGTTGTAAAATTAAGGCAATAGAATTCTATCAAGTAATTTCTACTACCATTATTGTCCTAAAATTAAGACTAGCGGAGAAAAGATATTTTTATACCACACTGTAGATTGGAAAATAAGACTGGAATAACATGGACCTGTATGGGCTGGGGTCTGATCTGCTGGGAAGCAGCTCCATGGAGAAGAACCTTGGGGTCCTGGTGGACAACAAGCTGCTCATGAACCAGCAGTGTATCCTTGAGACCAAGAAGGCCAAAGGTATCCTGGGTTGCCTTGGGAAGAGTTTTGCCAGGAGGTCACAGGAGGTGATCCTGTCCTTCTGCTCAGCCCTGGTGAGGCACATCTGGAGTGCTGTGTCCAGTTCTGGGTTCCTCACGACAAGAGAGACGTGGAGCACCGCCACCATTGGAGTGGGTCAAAGGGAGGGCTACACAGATGATTTAGGGACTGGAACAACTCTCTTGTGAGGAAAGGCTGAGGGAGCTGGGCGTGTTCAGCCTCCAGAAGAGGAAAGTGAGAGGGGACCTCATCAATATCTGTCAGTACCTGAGGGAGGGTGTCAGAGGATGGACCAGGCTCTTGGTGGTGCCAAGCAATAGGACAAGAGGCAATGGCAGAAACTGATGCACAGGAAGTTCCACCTGAAGATGAAGAAGAACTTCTTTACTGTGTGGGTAACCAAGCCCTGGAATAGACTGTCCAGAGAGGCTGTGGAGTCTCCATCCCTGGGGACATTCAAGAACCATCTGGACACAGTCCTGTGCAGTGTGCTGTAGGGTGACCCTGCTTGAGCAGGGTGGTTGGACTAGGTAACCCATTGTGATCTCTTCCAACGTGACCCATTCTGTGATTTGTTTGGACAGTCTTATGGCTAATAATAAATTTTTGTGTTTTGTAAATGAGGAATGAATTTCGTGTAATTGCTCAGCAGTGCAATTGACTTCAGAAACTGTCTGCAATAGCTGAAAGGCTTCAATGAATGCAGGATGCAGTCACTAACCATATGAGTGGAATATGCTGGTCAGTGGTGAATCTGTGATGCAGACAAAATGGTTGGGTAAGAAATTATTGGCTTACCATGGCTACAACATGCTGAATTAAAAAGTCATGTAGCTGTTACTGTCAGCCACTGTAACATCAGCAGAAACTTTCCTATAGGGAAATAAGAGTTGTTTCTTTAAGACTAAGATAAAGTCGATAATGCTGTTTGTCAGCAGATGGTAGCAGATACATAAGTATTGCCAGATCTTTTGTGTGGTACATGTTGTCTTTCATTTATTTTTAGTGGAGAATGAAATGTGAACAGAAGATACTTAAAAGGCAGTGAACAGATACATTACTCTTTTATAGGGAAAAACTTGTGTATTTGTCCTTTTATGGCTCCTTTGCAGAACCAGTATGCTACAATTGGAGTCTAATTTTTATAATCCTAACCATAAGTATATAGTAATAATAATAATATAGAAATGTTTCTGTTCTCACTATTATAAGTAACTGAAGTATTTTGTAAAACTCACTCTCAGTTTTCTGTTGCAAGATTCAGATTCCTATGTAATTTTCTTCTGTGCTACAGTATTATCCAAGCAGTTTAGATAAAAGATAAAAAAACTCGGTTGATAAAAGGAAATTTTTCCCTTTTAACAACAGAAAAATTTCATTTACTATACAAAGGAAAGGATTTAAAATCAGATATTGATCTTAAGTTTATGTTGTTGGAAAAACAAGCTGGCTGGTAAAAGTCTGTGTGCAATAGGATATCCCAAATTTAAATGCTGAATTATGTTCTTAGTTATAGCCCTTACACACATGTTTGCTGGCTGATCATATTTGCAGTACTAGAAACCACACAGAAGTCGTGCCTGTTATACTTCTGGCTGAGGGAAATGCAACTCTGATTCTGCAGGAGAAGATGTGAGAAGGTGTGTGAGTGAGGCAGCCCCTCATCTCATCTCATGTGGGGGTTAGTGACAGGTATTGACAGCCCCATTTCTGTGCTTTGTAACATCCCACTGCAGAGTTCTGCTGTTGGGGACAGAGACTGCTCATCTCTGCATCTTTGCCTGTCTCGCAGCCTGCTCCTGTGCAGTCCTGTGCTGTACTGACTATCTTCAATAGTCTTTCCAGAGCTTTGGGAGGCATGAGCAGCTTCACTATGAAAACATGCTGAGCTTGGGAGAGGAATCTGGATAATCATTGTTGCTGTGGTCACTTCCAGGGCATCACTTTTATCTGCTCTGAAGATTTTCCTTATATTCATGCTTGTGTTCAAAAGCTGCCTCAAATTTGCATTTGCTTCCCAGTGCAACAGAAGTGAGCCTGAGCCTGGTTACTCACTGTTTCCCTAAAATCCTTCACTTTCCCTGTCCTTGCCATTATAAAATAATTATTTCTGAGTGGTTCCATTATATTTTGCAGCTGCTGTCTCTTTATCTTTTTATAGTATCAGCTTTTATTGGTCATGATGTGCTTGGAAAATAAGAATAATAATCATAGAGTTGTAAAGACTTCTTTAGAAATAGAATTTAGACTGGATTGCTTTATGCATGTAATTTGTGAGTTTCAGGTTTAGATGATAGATGCCACTTCACCTAAGCTTGAGGTTACCCCTGCTTTTGAGAATGAGTTTGACTGGATGACCTCCAGAGGTCTGACCTATATTGCTCTATACTTTGGATTTCCCAGGGATATGGACTGGGACCAGCTGGCTGGGAAGCAGCACTGCTGAGCACAGCCTGGGAAGCCTGAGGGGTGCAAAAAGCTGAACATAAACCAGCAGTGTGACCTGGCAGCAAATACTGTCAGCAGTTTCTTGGGCTGTGTTAACAGCACACCCAGGAGGTTAAGGGATTCTGTATTCATCAGAACACATCTGTGTCTACCTTTGGATACTTCAGATATAAGGACAGTAGAGCTAAACGGTGAAAATTCAACAGAGAACTGTCAAAATACTCAGAGAGTTGAAGAACTTGTCCTGGGGCAGGGGTTGAGGAAGCTGGGCTTGTTTGGCCTGGAAAGAGGTGTCTCCAGGGGAAACCTAGGAGCAGCCTGACAGTGAGGCTGCTTTACAAGCTCCTATGAGGAGCTTGTGAAAAAGATGGAGCCAGGCTCTCCTGGTGGTGTGGTGTGAGAATGAGGGGCAATGCATCTGAAGTGAAGCTAGATGTTTGGCCTGGATAAAAAGAAAAGATTGTTCCTCATGAGGACAGTCAAACAGTGGAAAAGGTGTCCGAAGAGGTGGGATGCCTCTTTTTGGGGGATTTTTAGGACCCAGTTGGATGAAACCCTGAGCAACATGGTCTAACCTCATAATGAATTTACCTTTGAGCAGAAGGTTGAAATGACTTCTTAAGGTCCCTTCCAACCTGAATTATTCTGATTAAGTGATTCCACAACTTAAAATGAGAAAAAACAACTTTTTAGTAGTGTTTACTGAACAATATTGCTTTAGCCTGGAAGTGAAAAAAATGCTTTTGTGTGTTTTTTTCAGAATCTGATTCCCTTATTACCTCTCTTTCATCCACTTTCTGTCAGGGCTTTTTTTCCTCATTGTAAAGTAGCTTCAGGCATCTTCATGCTTATTTTTCTTCCTCCGTTATTCTCAGACAGTACATGCAGTCTGAAATACAAATGTCTTTTTTTTCTATACCTAATAACATGACCTCCTGTTAAATTATTCCACTAATCCCAACAAAGATCTCAGAATCCTTTCAAAGCATTTCTCTATTCTGGCAAAGAAACCAGATTTTTATTTCTGTTGTGATCTTTGTCCATTTGGGGTGGAAGAGGGCAAGTGTAGTTGCAAGCAAAAATCAGTCCTGAGAGTCTCAAGTCCTGTTCTTAATTATATACTTTGTCTCCATGACTCATTCTGAAGTGTTCTTCTCACAGAATTGCTGCACTAATTGTTTTTCATTTTAGAAATACCACCTCATGTCATTCCATGGGATAGTATGGAAATAAAGCACCTCTGCATTTCTTTGATGTGTGACTGCATTGCACCCAACAGAATGCAGTGCATTTAAGTTGCAATACAGCTATTGTAATA